ATGGAGCTTCTAGGGTTGATGGAGTAGTTACAGTTGATGGATCAAGTAGGGTTCAAGACTTATATGAGGACAACCTTGTGGATATCAATTTGGACTTCGAAGAGGCCCCATCTATGGAAACTAAATTTCTTGTGGTTGTTTCACTGGAAGACATCTAAATGTTTAGTCAACACACTGAGCAAGGCAGCTATGAACACCAAGAACCTAAAAAGAGAGTGAGGAGCAGAGTGGAGAAGACTCTGAGGAGAGCGATGATCACTGCAGGCATCAGATAGGTCTGAAAAACCCTCACGGGGTCAGGATAAGCTATGGACCACCCCCTCCTGCAAAAACCTCAAAAGCTCTGAACTCACAGCAAGGAACAAGCAAACCTAAAATCTGGAGATTAAAAAGAGACTAAGATATTGCACCAAATCTGAAACCTCTTTCAAGTATATCTTTTTTTGGGAATGATGCACACCCAATAGACCTTGAGTAGTTTTACTGGTTCCTTAGAATGAATGTTTAGTTTTGTGTAATATGTAATTTAAAACAACCAATCTATTTTGTTGATATGATTTGTTATGGTTCATCTATGGATTGAACAATGGGATATGATCTATTGGTTATCAGCTACTATGTTTGATTGCATTCAGTTAGTGTTGATAATATGGACAACGACTTTATTACTTATGTATTGTTTTTAGGTATGTATATGATCTGTTGGTTCATCTGTGTTTGATAGTTTGCAGTTACTATTTGTGTACTGAGGATGCCAAACTCAGTTGCTTTAGTTATGGATAATGACTGTATTACTTATGTATTGTTTTCGCAAGCCACAACTTAAAAGATGGTATGTGTATTCACTTTGGATGCCATTATAAGATTTAGTCAGGAGTGGGTTTTCATCAGCTTGGTTTTCATCAGTTTGTGCATGTTTACATTAGTGTGTTGAATTTGTACCTAATGCTGATCGACAAACAACAACGCTGATAAACACATGTAAACAATCAACACATGTAAACATTCATCCCTTGCAAACCTGTTTCAAGTACACTGACCAAGCCTCATTCTCACAACATAAAAGTTACATAAAAACCACACCATACAATCTTCACAACATCACCAACTAGTTCATAAATGCGTACATGGTTACAAACACAACAACAATTGTTACAATGCTCACAATCTGAATGATTTTAGGGGATTTTGTCTTCATTTCGCATTTCTTCTTTTCATGCAACTGTAACTCTTCCACCTTCATGTGCAATGTCTGCATTTGGTCTTCATAGCCATTCAATTTTTTTAGCAACCTAGGAATAATTTTTTGTGACCTCTTGCACATTGGAAGGTCAAACCAGTTCATGAAGCAACACCCCACACATCTCTGCAAATAAATTATGCTGATGTATCATGTGCTAAAATAACCAAAAACATGCATTTTTCAAAGAATTTCATTACCTCACTACCCACACATTTCCAAAACCTTCTCCCACAGTTATCATGTTTTCATGTTGTCAAAAGCTTCAATTCTTGGCCACATTGACAGTGTTCAACCGGAATCCATTCTCCATATTCATACTGCCCTATTGGTTTTGAAGAAGTAGAGTGACTGGTAGACATGTTAGGTTCTTTGTGGTTGAGTGGCGAGAACGACGACAGGGTTATACGAAGGAGTTGTGTGGTGAGGGCCACTGATTTAGGGTTCAAGCAAGCTATAGAATACGATGAAATGCAGCTTAATGTACGGATGATTTGTGAAGGGAAGTTAAGAAGGAGATGACGGTAGGTAGGAAGAAGTTATAACGGCCTTGAAATTACTTAAATAACCTCCACTTAATAGTAAAAGTTTTAAACCCGTCAGAGTTCACGCCGGAAAGATGAGAAATGGTAACGGGAGCAAACGATGGGACAAGATGTGGCGAAGTTGGAAGTTAGGTACAAAATGTGAAAGTGGCATAATAGTCATGTGACCAAAAGTGTAATTTTTTCTTTTGAGAAAGAAGTTCCATGAAAGTTTCATAAAACCAGTACATAATTCATGATATTCTTTTTGAAAGAACATAATTCATGATATTCGTAAACATAATCATTTTATAAGCCAAAAAAAATTAGTGATCACATTCATTCAAACTATGGCAAATAAGACTAAATAAGTCTTGAGATTTTTTCGGGGAAAAATTATGGTAATCTTCTTATAATTGTAATGTGACATATTTTAATAGAAAACACTACAATATAGATATTTATTTAAGTGATTGATACAATGTTTTATTGGGATCTGTTCTGAAATTCAGATTCAAAATGGTACATCGTATCACATTTTCTCTTATTTTTAATCATAAAACAAAAGGATAATAGATTTTTTTTACTTATTCTCCATTTGCAATTGAATAAGTGGTATTGTATAAAAATGATAATGCATGTTCTATTGTAAATAGCAGATTTGAGAATAAGATGTTAAGAATTGCAAAGCTATTTCTAGCATAAGTATCAATTTTTAAATATGTTTATCTTTCAATCTCTTAAACAACAAATTATTAAGACATAAAATAATTGATGGCATAACTTTAAAAAAGTAGAAACAACTTTACACCGAACTACGGAGTAATATATATCTTTTGTTGTAGTGTGTAATTTGCATTAAATAACAGATCCCGTGAGGTATATCAAACTATACAGATACACAAGAAACATATTAGTCTATATATTTTAAAGCATATAGTTACCTGAAAAGTGTATGTATGACCGTATGACCTCCATGGTGTTGTTTAAGATCTTAAGATTTATTACGCTGAGGATCTCTGAAGTGTTGTATATTTATGTATTCTTTAATCAGTGTATGTAATTCATAGCATGATATTTATCTTCGCATGAAGACAAGAGGAACTGTGAAGTGTTGTATATTTTATATTGTTTAATCAATGTACGTATTTCATAGCATGCTATTTATCTCCGTATGAAGACAGGAAATTAGTTTGAAAATAGCTTTTAAGGTTCATGAATGAAGAAGCAAAGTTGGTGATGAAATACCTTATGGTATTAAGAATGTCTAATTCATGGAGTAAGAGTAGAGTCACAGAACCTGGATTTTAAGTTTCATGGTGTTAAGTTGCAAAGACTGAGAATTGGGTTAATGTGCAGATTTATGAGTCTGAATCAGATTTATTGATAAACAAAATAGTTTGTATTTAGTACCTCCTCCACATTTTGTTATTTGTCATGTATTCCGTTTTTCTTTTGGTAATGATTTGTATTGCTTTAATGGACCCCACCACTTTTCCAAAAATTATGTTGTTTTTTATACTTTATGTTACAAATAGTATGATTTATGTGCTACTACATCTTACTTGATTACTATCCTCTAAACTACTTCATATTAATCTACTCTATAATTTAATACTTTTAAAATTTAATCTACCTCTCAATACATAAGTTTTTTGTTCTCAAAGTGAATAATAACTTGATTTCTTTTGTCCCGTGCATCGCACGAGTGAAATTCTAGTGTCTCATTAAAACTCTACTAGATAAAATTTGGTGGTAAAAATCTAGTGAAAGAAAAAGAGTACACAATTCTTTATACGTTTAAGGGGTGTTGCCTCAATAAAAATGTTGTCGACGAAAACTTCGGGGAATGAAAATGGGATAAAATCTTAGCAAGGGAAAAAGAGTACAATGCGTAATTGTTCCCCCGTTTAATACATCACTCGAGATCCTTGCGCCGGCTTGTCCAGTTTGGTGCACAAACTTCATGAGGTTGCAGTTGGGAGAGCTTTACCGAATAGATCTGCAACATTGTCACTTGAACGAATTTCTTGAACAATGATCTCGCTCTCTTTCTGAATATCACGTGTATTCCAAAACCTCAATGAGATATGTTTCGTCCTATCTCCTTTGATGAGACCTCATTGAGTTGATGTATACAAGTTGCATTATCAAGTATAATAAGATGGATGAAGCCTCCTTACCGTATAATATTCCACATAAACATCTAATGTACCGAATTACACTTCTTAGGTATACACATGTTTGACTGGCTTCATGAATGGCTAAGAGCTCTGCATGATTATAGGGCGTGGTCGCGATTGTTCGTTTCATGGAGCGCGATGAATTTAAAAGTTGTAAGCAAGAAAAGAAGTGATTCAAACTGCTTTACATTTTTGTATTGCAAAAAAAAAATAATTTTCACCAAACATCTTGACTTTTATTTTAAAGGTTATTTTTTTCAAATACTATTTTTTTGAAAGAACTTTGTTTTTTCTAATAATATTAAAAAAAGAAGTAAATGTAAATTTATACGGAGTATGAAAATATGAATATATATATGAACGGAAAAGATCCCGTGCAGCCGGAGGGACATGATGTTCTGTCCAGCCGCCGCCGTTTGGGGTGGTTCCTGATGCAATTTTTTGATGAAATGTTTTGAGCATGTTTTTCATCGAGTCTCGTTTATCCACAAAAAAATTCAGCTAAAAACTCAACCGGGAAGACGGTAAAATAAAATTTTAAAAATAACTGCATTTTATATGTACAATGTTTTTCGAAAAATTATTTGGCTGCCTTTCCGATTGAATTTTTAGTTGTTTTTTGAATAAACTAGACTTGATGAGCAATATGCTTAAAAAATTTCATAAAAAAATTCCATTGAAAACTGCCTCAAACAACGGCTGCCGAACTGAGCATCTGTCCCTCCCTCCGGTTAGACATGCTCCGTTTTAAACTAAAATAAAAAACTACGTATAAGAAAATTTCAGGACTTGTGGACTAAGAGCATCTCCAAAGTCACAATATGCACGATGCACATGTGACATACGAGACAACCACATAAATACTCCCTCCGTTTCTAAAAGAAACTCACACTTTCCTTTTTGAGATGTTTCAAAAACAAAAGCACACTTCCCTTATTTCTTTATTTGGTAAAGAAATCTACATTCAAACAGTGCGAAACAGTGCTAAACAATGTCTAAACAATGTCTAAACAATGTCTAAAAGAAATCTGCACCAAAATTTGATCAAAATGGATTAACAGCAGTTTCCTGGAACGAAAATTTGAACTTGTGCCTCCTCCTCCCCGCCCCATCCCGTTTCGCCTCCTTCTTGGTGGTTTGTCCGCAAGGTTTTGAAGTTCTCTAAAACTCCGAATCCCCAAAACAGAAGGAACACTTACCAGAACCATATCTCTGAACCCTTGTTTCGTATGGCTTCTGATGCTCCTCGAGCTCGAATTGACCAGGTAATACCTGTCCATCACATGCATTCAGTGTATATGGAAATGCTCTATGCAAATCTTTGAATTCCAACCCTAAAAGTTCACAAATTTTCATTTCTTTAGGATCATAGATGCGTATATCTTCATTAAAGATTTCCATGACTAAAGATCAGTAATCATTCTTTTATGTTCTCTGTTGTTCTTATTAGTTCTTTGCATCAAAGAAGAAGAGGAAATTTGAATCTCCTGTCTTGAAATCTCCAGTATCCATTAAAGATGCTAAAATTTCGACTGAGGGGTCACCAGGCACCAGAGGATCTCTTGAGAATTCTTCAGTCAAATCTCAGGACAATTGTGAGTCTCTGGGCTCACCTGTTGAGAGAAATTTGACATTAGAGCTCGATCGAATTTCCAAAGATGAAGATGAAGTGGCAGTTCCGTCAAGAAAATCACACTCTCAAGGTCCTAAAACAGCATACGAAATGTTATACAATGCAGGTGTTGCGGCCAGAGAGCATCCTAAAAATTCCTCTGAACACATCCTAGACCAAAAAAACCTACAACTCAATCAATTTGCCAGTGAGTTTCTATCATTATACTGCAGGTACTTTACTTATACACGGAAGCTAAAAGTACTACTGCTAATAAGTTTGCAACCCCATACTAACATTTCTTCTTCTTCTTCTTCAGCAATATTGGAGGTTTATGCATTCTCTCTGTTCTCGGTTTTTATATTTTTCTTTTGTTCTTTTCGTGTGTGCATCATACAGTAAGAGACCATGCCCACCAACTAGTGAGGGTTTACCATTACATCAAAATGTGCATCCGTATAAAAGACACTGCATCCCATCTACTGCTGATAGAAGCTCTTCTTCTATTGAGGACAATTCAACTAGCTCTCCAAGGAATTATCTTCCAGATGCCCATAATGATGTTGTTCCCAAATCTGCACATGCAAATCCACATTCTTGTGAGGTAGGATACATATATGTCCCTACAAGTATATGTTTTTTTGTTTATAAAAACACTGTGTACCTTCATTTATGTTTTTGTGTGCTATGGTAGGTGAATATGGATACACTTGCTGAACCTCAAATAAGCTTGAGAAGATGTAATAAGGTTCCTGTTTCTAAAGAAACTGAATCTCTAACACCAGGTTTGTCCACTATGGAACATGTGGCAAGCGTTACTCCAACATCAGCACATGGTGTCTCGATCTTTTCACCTGGAGAAAGTTTCTGGAATGAAGCAATTGAAGTTGCTGATGGGTTGTTTGCTGAAAATGAGAAAGGTACGTGCCGAGTTACTGATAAGGATGTAACTGTGAGCACCCGACATGACATACTTAGTTCCAACGATCTGATAACTGGTGGACATGGCATAAAATCAAACAGAGTAACCAAAAGAGTTGTGGATAGAGTTTCTAGTGTGAGAATGGTTTCTGCTGGTGTGCCGATAAAGAAGATTGGGAAGGAAATGGATAAAGAAGTCTCTCCATTGCCTGTAAAGCACTTTGACTTTGCTTCGGAAGACAAACAAATGGCGCAGATTAATGATTGCCATATTCTCAGTGGAAATGAAATTGGGCATGCTCCAGTAAACAGACTATTTACAGAAAAACTTGCAGGGGCCTACAAATATGATGCTTCTAAAACTACTCCTGATACTCTTGTGCAAGGCAATGGTAGTGTAGCTTTTAATACACCAACCGAGAGATCAGGAAAAGTTGGAGCTAATTCTGAATCCAGTGAAGACATCACTCCTTCAAGTTTTTTGCCACAAAAAGATTGTTTAGATCTCAGCAATTGGCTCCCACCTGAAATATGCAGCACCTACAAGAGGAAGGGTATAGCAAAATTGTACCCTTGGCAGGTAGTGTTTTACTCTTTCGAAAAGTTCATTGCCTTTAATTTTGTGCGGCATATTACATTGTTACGTTGGCACCGAATATTTTGCTTGAAGGAGTTAACCCCATCCCCATGGTTAAAAAAGATTCATTAGCCCGGACATTACTTTTCAATTCCAGCCTACATCATGTTACACTGGAGTCAATCTACTATTTGGATGTGCCGTTGTAGGAGATGATCAATGATTAGTTGGAATACAAATATACAATATAGTCAATAGGGGCGTAGGGCATCATCGACTCTTTCTCTATCATGAAGCTTTCTAAAATGCACCGTCATCTTAGTATTTTACGACATACAACTTTGTTTCAATTCTGCCTTTTTTGTTTTGTTTTGTTTTCTTGGCACTGTGTTCTAGCTCTCTCCTTAATTACTGTGTTGTTTTTGTCAGCAAAATCTACTCAGTAATTATTTATACCTACAAGAGGAAGAATATGTTTATCACTTATTCTTCTCCTGTGATAATAACATTGCAATTAACCCTTCTCCATTTCTCAGGTTGATTGCCTGCAAGTGGATGGTGTTTTGGAGAATAAGAATCTGGTTTATTGCGCCTCTACAAGGTATGTATTGGGTTTATAAATTTTTGTACTTGTCATTTCTCTAAGCTTTCCAGATGGCTATACTGCCTAAACCTATATGATACGGAGTATTAAATAAGCTACTTGAACACTTATTCCTCATTGGTCTTAATTTCAATATATCACCGTAGACAAGAAAATAAACTGGGGTTTTAGCAACCCCTGCCTCCATGTGTTTGTTTTGCTGTTTCATGAAACTTTAGATGAGTTGTGTGGAGAGAAAATTCAGTTTCATAATTTAGTAGTCAATCTTAGTTTTATAAGATACCATGAAAGAGCGATGAAAAAAAGCCCACTACAATATCAGATTTATAGTCATAACTCATAAGTTGGTATGTTTTTATCAAATCACTACTTCAGCCACAGATTCATCATTCGCTTTTATATTATAGATTGTAGATGAATATAACTTCTCCGTTATCTCTATCTAATTCTTATATACCATCAAATGGGTTATTATTCATTCCAAGTGCTACCCCAATCTGCTTATCAAAGAAGATGAGCTCTGTAAAAAAGCATTGGAACGTCGAACATTTTACTTGCCTCCCATAAATTTCTCTAGTAAATATTCCAAGAATTTTCACTCTCTTGCCCATCTTTAGGAGAAATATGATCTCTTTATCCTCTTTACCATCCCAACTAAGACACTTTTTTCCTTGCCAGTTATGAAATTGTGTACTCATATAGTCTTATCCTTCTAGCCCCCACAAGTTATTGAGACATCATATTTCATCAATGTGACAATGTCAACTCTATAAGAAGTTAACAAAACCAGATTTTTCTTTATTGTCTTTGATTTGGCTTTTCTAATTCCTCACAGTGCTGGTAAAAGTTTTGTTGCTGAGATTTTAATGTTACGGAGAATCTTATCAAGGGGAAAAATGGCAATCCTTGTACTGCCATATGTATCCATTTGTGCAGAAAAGGTGCAGTTATTTCATATTTAAAATGCTTTAGTTCTCTTTCATATCATCATATGTTACTCAGATGTTGATGTGTGGAAATGACACGAACAGGCCGATCACCTAGAAGTCCTCTTAGAACCACTTGGGAAGCATGTACGCAGTTACTATGGAAATCAAGGTGGCGGAACCCTTCCAAAGGACACATCTGTTGCTGTGTGTACTATTGAAAAAGCAAACTCCTTAGTTAATAGACTGCTAGAAGAGGGCCGCCTGTCAGAACTTGGTATCATTGTGATTGATGAACTTCATATGGTATATATATTTGTTTTGTGGAATTGTAATAGTGCTATTTGATGTACTGCTTAATAGATTTTCACCGTCATGATAGGTCGGTGATCGGAACAGAGGCTATTTACTGGAGCTGTTGCTCACAAAGCTTCGCTATGCAGCTGGTGAAGGCAACACAGAATCGTCCAGTGGAGAAAGTTCAGGTATGAGCAGCGGAAAAGCTGACCCTGCTCAAGGTCTTCAAATTGTTGGAATGAGTGCAACTTTGCCAAATGTGGCTGCAGTTGCTAATTGGCTTGATGTGAGTATTCTATTATTTTTGTTTGATACTAAACTAAAGATTATACAGTAATAGCTAGTAGAGTAGTAGCTACATAGCGTCTTACAAGAACTAGTTCTTACATTCCACAATACAACTGCCTAACTATCCCAATGTCTTTGGTTCCTCAATATTTACATCATTTTGTGTGTGTATTGTACTATTGTGTAATGTTATATGTTTATCAGTTATGAGTTTATGAATCATGACTATCAATCAACAATGACTACAATAACATTTGATATATGGCTGTACATTTACTCGAGTCCTAGACTCTTAGTGCACTCACAACACAACTTGCAGAAGATATAATTATTGTTGTGAGTCCTTTTATTGAATATGCACACACGTGTGTTTGTGTGCGTGTATTTGTTTATATATTTATGCATCCGTTCTTTTGCCTCTTACATTTACTTATAAAAGGTTTGATTGCATTTATATCTTTGTTGGATTGTGTGTTTTGCCAACCTATGCGTGTTTCTGAAATTACCTGAAGAGCTTTGCAGCAGTTGCACCTTGTAGGCTGGTAGTGGAAATATGACATTGAAGTTTACTTGTGATTTTTTTCTCTTGCTGAAACTGCACTAAATTTTCTGTGAAATTGTATTTTGAGTTTTGAATGTCAAAGCATTGATTTGATTGCATGTGAGCAAATTAAAACTTTATAGTTGTGGAACTATTTGATTTGAGTTCATAAGGAAGAGTACTCTTGACTAGATGCACATTCTCACTGTGCATTCTATTACTATGCCAGTAAGGTGCTCAAACACTTCACCGGATCACTCTAAGTTGTCTCATGCTTTGTGGTCAATCCACCAGTTGTTATGTGACCTAGGTAACCCTCTCTTTGTAGCTTCATTTGCCAACAATTCTAGGTTAAAGGAATGTGAATGTCACCATAAGATCTACACAAATCTTTCTGAGTGTACCCAATTCACAATAGTTGTCTCATGCTTTGTGGTCAATCCACCAGTTGTTATGTGACCTAGGTTACCCTCTCTTTCTAGCTTCATTTGCCAACAATTTTAGGTTAAAGGAATGTGAATGTAACCATAAGATCTACACAAACCCTTCTGAGTGTAGCCAGTTCACATCAACTGTAAAGGCATGACTTTGGTATGGATTGAAATGCACATGACTCTACCAATTTGATGTGTGAGTCTATGACTAGATGTTTATAAAAATGCAATTTGGTAGAACCTGGCAAATGGAAATTGGTTCCCTAGTTTTATGTCGCCCTATAATTCGTTTCTCGTCTGGTTTGCTTCTCACAGGCAGCTTTGTACCAAACAGATTTCCGGCCTGTTCCTTTAGAGGAGTACATCAAAGTAGGCAACACGATTTATAACAGAAAGATGGAAATTGTTAGAACATTGCCAAAAACTGCTGAGCTTGGTGGCAAGGATCCAGATCATATTGTGGAGCTTTGCAATGAGGTTATATCTCACTTTATCAACATTCTTTTGGCAAAGGTTTTAGACCCTAACAAGTTTGAATTCAATTAGGTTGTTCAAGATGGTCATTCCGTGCTAATTTTTTGCTCCAGTCGGAAAGGATGTGAAGCAACAGCTAGGCATGTTGCTAAGTACTTGAAGTTCTTGATCAGCCCCTGCAACAAAGATACTGAGTTTGATATTGATTCTGCCATTGATGCACTACGAAGATCTCCTGCAGGCTTGGACCCTATACTTGAAGAGACACTTCCTGCTGGTGTTGCTTACCATCATGCTGGGCTTATGGTAGCGTGCTATTTAGTTGTTATATGCTGTCTTTGTTCTGCTTCATATTTCAAAATTATCCATGCTCTTTTGTATTTTTTTATTTTTTACCCTATCCTTTTATTTTTGGGACTAAGGCTTGGATGTTGTTGTACCCTATCCTTTTATTTTACTTAACTTTCAAATTATAGTACTGTTTGAAGTGCTCATTGATGTTTCCTTTGTCAAGCTCGAAGAAAGAGAGACTGTTGAGAGTTGTTATCGCAAAGGACTTGTACGAGTCTTAACTGCTACATCAACTCTTGCTGCTGGAGTTAACCTCCCTGCCCGGAGAGTTATTTTCCGACAACCTCGTATCGGGTATGACTTTATTGATGGAACAAGGTACATGCAGATGTCTGGTCGTGCTGGTCGGACAGGGATTGATACAAAAGGAGAGAGTGTAGGTTTACCTTTTATTTGCATACCTTTATATGGGTTTCCTTAAACAACATATTATGCAGATTTACTTAACTTGTCATTCAGCATTCACATGTCAATTTGGTAGACGGGCTAAAAGCTGTTTTATCCTATTAGGTTATTAGATTCTTTCATTTTTTTAAAACACAATCCTTGTCCCTCTGTTAATCTTATGAGCTATGACTATCAAAGTTTTGTTATAAGTGTTCATGTCTTTGTTGAATTAGGTGTTGATTTGCAAACAAGATGAAGTTAAAAGAATATTGAGACTTTTAAATGACAGCTGCCCACCATTGCATTCTTGCCTGTCGGATGATAAGAATGGAATGATTCATGCAATACTAGAGGTCGTTGCTGGTGGGATTGTTCAAACTGCCAATGATATTCACCGATATGTTAGGTGTACCCTTCTTAATTCAACAAGACCTTTTGAAGATGTGGTAAAGTCAGCTCAGGATTCTCTTCGGTGGTTATGCCACAGGAAATTCCTTGAATGGAGTGATGATACAAAATTGTACACTATCACACCTCTTGGTCGAGCATCTTTTGGCAGTTGTCTTTCTCCTGAAGAGTCGCTCGTAAATGTTTCAAACTTCTTTAATTTTATGCATCATTTTGAAAGAACTTGTTTTGCCTTCTCTTAGATTTTGACATAATTAATTGTACTAGTCCTGCCTATCATGAATTGTTAGGTTGTATTAGATGATCTATTGAGGGCAAGAGAAGGGTTTGTACTTGCATCTGATCTGCATCTGGTTTACTTAGTCACACCCATTAATGTTGAAGTTGAGCCAGATTGGGAATTGTATTATGCAAGATTCATGGAACTGTCTGCTTTAGATCAGGTAAGAAATCTCTGTTCTCTAAGGCTTCATAGGTTAGTTAAGCAGTTTATACTGGCGGCACCTTGTTTATGTTGCTCATTAAAAGTTTATTGATGTCAATAGCAGAGCGGTTGGCAATAGCGCCAGTAGCGGGAACTATAGCACTACTATAATTTACGGGGCTACTTCGGTGCTAGTTTTGAAGAAATTTGGGAGTATTTTTCACTATTAGATGTTTTTAGAGTAAAAAATAACCTCACTACAGTGCTACACCACCCCGATCATGTGGGAGATAAAATAGACCTACTAAAACAGCTCTGAACAGAAGCCAAGGTCAAACATAACCTACACCGTACGTTTCCATGTTAAGGTAGTTCAGGGCTAATTTATCTAGGATTATCGTGAGCTTATTTTTTTCTTTAATGTTTAGAGGTAAGTTACTTTATCTTAACATTTTTATCTTATGTTCTTTATCTTTATCTTGTCTTTCTGTGCTTTAGTACAGGGGTAAGACTCCGTACATCCGACCCCCTACCCCACCAAAGGTGGGAGCCTTTACGGCACCGAGGTAGTGATAATGATGATGATGATGTTCATTTTGTTTATCTTATCCTATTTATCTTACCTTATCTTTTAATCTCTCTTATTTTTCTTTTCTTTTTGGTTGAGATATCATGTATCAATTCATGCTAGCCGATCTCAAAATCGTGGATGTTGTTTTTGTTTGTTCTTCTTTATCCTTTTATCCCTTTTTCTTGTCAATTTTATCTTTATCTTATATTTACCATTATTTTTGTCTTATATTTTTATCTTTTTATCATACCTTATCCTTTTATCTTTCTTATCTTTTTTCTTTTTGCCTCCGATATTATGTACCAATTCATGTTAGCTGACCCCAATATCTTTCTGGACTAAGGCTTGGATGCTGTTGAGCTAAGTTACTTTACTTTAATTATTTGTTTCTTTTGTTTAAGACACTAATGCCTTTTTATTGATAATTTGTTAAGTTTAAATTTCATGATGTTTGAGATTTTGAGTAATATATATTTGATTTATCATTCCTTGGGTGATATGTGCATGGAATGTAATCATATGTTTCCTTGGGTGCAAGGTTGTCAAAGGCGTAAAGCGCACCTGAAGCGCTAGGAGTCTTCCAGCGCTTGAGGCGCAAAGCGCAAAAAAGCGCTCGCCTGACTCGGGTGAAGCGCATTACTTATATAAAGTCACATATACTATTCTATAAATACCAAATATGATGTATGTAACATCATATTGAACCAAATGCATCAAAAAAGCTAGGATTCACCAAAATAAAGTCATGATTCACAAAAACAGAAGTCTAAATTTAGAATTCATGGCTTTAATACTAAAAGTAAAACTAAAAGACACTGAAATCCGAGCCTATTTCCCCTCGCTAAACTTGTGAAGGACTATTCGTCATTAAAAGAGGAGTCAGTTTCTTCTCCATTATCTGATTTGTATTCCCCAACATCCTCTTCAATTTCTCCCTCACTTTCCTCATCCACAAGCCTACGAGTAGTACTTGAACTCACATTTCTGGAGTGCTTTCTAGTATATCTTATTGGTTCTTCTGCTCCCTTTGCCCTACTCACAGCACCCCACGTCAAGCCATCACCTTCATCATCACTGAAAACCGAGTCATCTGCTGCACTTGCATTCACATTTCCAGCCAACCACTCATTGCAATCATCAATGTTATCTAAATCAATGTTATCAGCCAACGTGGTGATTTAGTCTTTCTTGTCAAAATTGCCAAATTGATTCCAAAAAGGCCTTCAGCTCTTGTATACTTGGACAACTCATCAATAATCTCTAGTTGCTCGCTTTGTTGTGGAACTAACTTTGCGATACAAGCATAGAGTCCAGTTGTGATCTCATTATTAAATTCAACTTGAGGATCATCATAGAAACATGCTGGATTGAGATAATGACCAGCCGCATGTAGTGGATGATGGAGCTGATCTTCCCATCTTCTATCAATGATTTCGAAAGTAGCTTTATAGTTCTCTTCTTTTCCATTGAAAGCCTTTATTATAGCTTCTTTGGCTCTATCCATCGCTTCATACAAGTATCCCATTGCCGGCTTCTTCTCATTGTCTACGAGTCGAAGAACTTTCACAAGAGGACCCATAAGTTTGAGTATGTAATATGCATTATCCCAAAAGGTAGGCATTAGCATAATGTTTTCAACTTGTTTCCCACCTATCTCTTTAGCCCACTTGCTGGAATTCCAGTCACTCTTAGAGAACAAAGCCCGAAGATTCATTTTTTGCTTATAGATGCTCTTTAAAGTTAGGTAGCATGTGCAGAATCTTGTCTTCCCCGGTCTTATTAGATTTCTCTGCCCCGTATACCTCCTCATTAAATTCAATAATCCTGTTCGATTATAAATAAAGTTAGTCACACTCATAGCCCGTTTCAAGGTGTTTGAAACCAAAGGCAGCTTCCCAATGTCCTGTAGCATTAGATCAATGCAATGCGCACCACACGGCGTCCAATATATTTTTGGCCTCTTGATTTCTAATAACTTACCACCTAACTTAAAATTAGTACCATTATCGGTAACAACTTGCACAATGTTTGCTTCCCCAACATATTCAACAAATTCATCCAATAAGTCCAGCACCTTTGGACCGGTTTTTGAGTATGAAGAGGCATCCACAGATTTGATAAACACACAACCAGCCAAAGAATGAACCAAGAAGTTAACAATGCACAGACCTGTGGTGCTAGTCCAGCCATCTGCCATTATAGAGCAGCCATGTTTGACCCATATAGCTCTATGGTCAGCTAGCATGTTTTGGAGGTTAGCAACTTCTTTCTTCAAACATGTGACCCGCACTTCATGGTAGCTAGGGGGCTTCAAATTAGGACCATATTGTCCTATTGCCTCGATAGCACATTTAAAAGAATGGCTCCGGGCAACATTGAAAGCAATCCCGTTCTCGTAAAAACAGTTTGATATATATTGTATAGCTACTTCTCTTCTTTGCTTATCCAACTTCTCATCGATCTTCAATTGCTTCAGTCTTCCTTGCTTTCGCAGCTCCACTACTGTTTCTGGCTTGTTGAAGATAAAAGAGTCCATAGGACCTTTTAGTTTTCCCTTCTTTGAAGATGCTTTGGTCTGCTGCACATGACCAGGTCTTTTTAGCTTGCCTCTAGGATCTTTCTGCAGCTCCTCAAGTTCACTGTCATCATCTTCCAGATCATGGAATGCATCAAAATCCGGATGTTCTGGCAGTTTATCATAATTGATCTTGGCATCCTTTTTGGATTGCATATATTCCCTAAGCATCTTTTTCACATCTTCTGGACATTTCAAGCAAGCCTTCGCATTTCTATCCCCTCCTATTTGATGAAGCTTTGCCCGGTAAATCCCTCCGTTAGTTACTTTTCCACAGTAAATGCAGGTAACTGATTTAGGATCTTTTTTGTTAACTAAGTAGTTGTGTTTCCAAGCTGGGTCATTTTTTGTAGAGTTTTCACTTTCAGCACCACCCACAGAACTTGTTCCACCTTCCATATCCTAGAAAAGATCAAAGCTGGAATCAGATATATCTCTCTTCCAAATACAGTGAGTCAGTGATACATATGGAATCAGTTTGATATATAAAGTTAAGAACATATAAGAATTAAGAACATATAACTTTAGTATGTATATTAGTATTATATACAATGTAGAGTACTATATATGTATATTTTTGTGCTATATATTAGTATTTTTTCAATCTTTTTAGGTGGCAACTTTTGTGCTATTGTTTGTCCTGTCTGGACCCGTGAACGCAGTTAACTATGTGGTGAGCAATGATAACATAGTTTTGAATATGGTTAAATTTACAGACTCCAGAATTACATTCTAAAGAAAACTACTACTCTTCTAATAAACACACCTCTTTTTTCAGTCATTCTAAAGATGGTGCTCTTATAAGTTTTGTAGTAATGCACCAAGATAATGAAAAGTTATACCCCCTATCTGATAAAAAATAGTTTGTGTAATCAAAGTACAACTTTTTTAACTATGTACTGCATTGTAAGTCATAAATGGTACTTATGTTTTAGAAACTTTTAATTAAGTTTGTTAAATATCCTAGAAAAGATCAAAGCTGGAATGAGTACATATATCTTTTGTACATATATAATGGAATCAGTTTGTTAATTGATACATAAAGTTACTATATGGAATCAGTTTGATATATAAAGTTAAGAGCATACATCTTTACTCTTTAGTACATTAGCACATAAATCTTTAGTAATTAGTACATATAAAGTTAAGATATATATCTTTAGTACATATATAATCAGTTGGTTAACTGATACAGTGAGTCAGTGATACATAAACTTTATGGAATCAGGTTGATATATAAAGTTAAGACTTAAGAACATATAAGAATTAAGAACATATAACTTTAGTATGTATATTAGTATTATATACAATGTAGAGTACTATATATGTATATTACAAGGCAGAGTACTATGACAGTATGAGTATTATATACATAGTAATATACTAAAATATAAAAAAGCAGAGTACTATGACAGTATGAGTATTATATACAGTAATATACCTTGTTTACTGCTATGATGGAGAGCTGCGTATGCTTGAGATGATGAAGCTGAAAGAATCGGCTGGTGTAGAGCAGCTTGAGTATAGAGTGAGGGAGTGAGGAAAGCGAGGAGAGCTGAAAGAACCGGCTGGTGCAGAGCAGCTTGACTGCTTGAGTATAGCGGTTTTTACGTACTAACGGTACTATTAAGCTTAGTTTTACGTAGGTTAAACTTACTTTAACCTATTGTTTTCATGGGCTGAGGACTATTAAGATATGGGCTTTTTTTTCAAAGTTTTAAACTAAAAAAGGGCTGTCAGCCTTTTCCGTTTCAGGCGACTGAGGCGCGCGCCTATAGGGCTTCCGCGCTTCGTGCGCTTCTAGCGCTTATGCTGCGCCTTGCCCAGGCTTCCGCGCTTCTTCCTTACTCAGGCGCTAGGGGTCTGCCTCGCTGCGCTTTGTGCGCTTAAGCGCAGAAGCGAGCGCTTTTGACAACACTGCTTGGGTGATATATACCGCTCTAGCGTTTTCAGGGTTTGCCGCTACGCTCTGCTATCCCGAATTGACAACACCGATAAAAACATCGAAACATTAGGTCAAAATAGGAAACTTTTGTGTTCATACATCATACATATTGGTTTTTATTTTATATTGCCTATGTCAAGTAGAATTGTTTTACACTCTTTATGATCGTAAACATTGGCATTTTGTTTAGAATACTACTTGATATATATTATTTAGTCATTTTAGTCATATGGAGAACGTCATTTAGACATTTACTCAGTCACCGAGTACTCACCATGTACTTGCTACTTGGCCCTAAAACTTGTCATGTTGGTCTACCTGCTCCATCCAATTAAAAAAACCAAGTTACTTAGTGAGTACTAGGCGGTTTTGACAATTTGGTGAGTCCAATTACACAACAAGTAACTCAACCATAATTACAAAAACAACATCCAAGCCTTATTCCCAAATCAGCCATAATTAAAGGCCATTTTGAATGTAGAATTAGGTCATTTTGAGATTAAAGGTCTTTGGGACTTCAATTGTATAAAATGCGTTTTCAAGGTTTTAATAGTTCGTAATTCTACAAATTGTCACTCAAGATATGTTTGTAGACATGACAAAGTTGAATATAGTGCCAATCTTGAACGAAATGATGGTTAATTTAGGATATACAAACTTACAAAGTTAGAATTGATAGATGGAGGGATCTTATTTAAATGTTTTATTTGTTAATCTAGTTTTCTTTAGTGGGTCTTAACTAAAAAGGCATATCACGTAAGTATATTAGTATCATCATGGATATGTATGAGACTTGTACTATATGTGTCCCAACTAATGTAGGGAAGATTGCAAAGTTCCCTATTACTATCGGAGTGCACTAAAGATCGACTCCGAGTCCTTTCTTATTTGCTATAGTCATAGTCATGGATGAACTTACGAAGTCAATTCAAGAAGATATATTGTGGTGCATGATGTTTGCCGATGATATTGTATTGATTGATGAGATACAATTAGGTTTTAAAGCAAAGTTGGAAGTATGACGACAAACATTGGAGACCAAGGGTTTCAGACTGAGTTGAACGGGACCGGGCTTGGGCTCACTTCCGTGGGCCGAGTTAGGGCTGTCGTTATAGTTTCATTATTATTATTATTAAGTTAATGTTATGTTTTAGTTTGGGCCTATTATTTATTAGTAGAGTAGTTAGTTGAGTTAATTTGGGCTTAATTAGGGTTTAATTAATATGGGCTTGATTAGGGTTTCTTGTAGAAGGCTATTTATACCCCTCGCCAGAGTTCATTCTTATTATATGGGAATAAAGTTAGAGTTTAGCCTTTTGGCTTTGGGCAACGGTTTACCCCGTTGATTTTATTTTTCTGTTACATATCAATTAGGGCTGTCGTTAGAGTTTAATTATTATTATTAAGTTAATGTTATGTTTTAGTTTGGGCCTATTATTAGTAGAGTAGTTAGTTGAGTTAATTTGGGCTTAATTAGGGTTTAATTAATATGGGCTTGATTAGGGTTTCTTGTAGAAGGCTATTTATACCCCTCGCCAGGGTTCGCTCTTATTATCTGGGAATAAAATTAGATTTTAGCCTTTTGACTTTGGGCAACAGTATTTTTATCGTTGATTATCTGGGCAACGGTTTATCCCGTTGATTTTATTTTTCTGTTACATATCAATTGGTCCGACCTGCCGGATCCCGTCCCGCCGGAATGACGAGATCAACCAACGAACGTTTATCAGAATTGGAGGCTGAACAGGCCCTAATCAATCAAAAACTTGACACGCAAGGACAGAAACTTGATCTGCAGGGACATAAACTTGACACACAAGGTCAGAAACTGGAAGAGCAGGCCGCCCAGCTTGCGGAAATCGCAGCCTCTCTTGCAGCAATCGCGAAGGCCATGGTGCCGCCGCAGAAATCTCCCATCGCGACCGTCGAGAGCGACTCCTCCGGCCACGTCGCATCTGTCTTCTCCGATGATGGCGGACTGCGCACCGCAGCCACAACGCTACTTCCCTCGTTCGATGGTGAAGACCCAATTGGGTGGTTGGCGAGAGTGGAGCAGCAATTCGAGCTCAACAGGACCCCACCAGACAGACAAGTTGCAGCGGCTAGGGTTTCTATGGAAGGAGCTGTCCTCTATTGGGTGACGTGGTTCAAGGCGCACAAACCTGGCATATCTTGGGAGGAATTTAAGCAAGCTTTGGTGGCCAGATTTGATTCCCGATATCAGGGAAACAGGTTTGAACGGCTGTCCGGCGTCAAACAAATTGGGTCGGTGGAGGAATACAATACCTTGTTCGTTCAATTGGCTAGCCAAGTTCTGGGATTGACCGACGATCATTATTTAGGCTACTACATGAGTGGACTTGGGGGAGCAATCCGAAGTTCGCTGCGCTTATTACGGCCAGAAAACCTGGAGACAGCCATGGAATTAGCTCGCGATGTGGAGCATAATCTGTCTGTCCAAAGTGGACGAAGTGGCAGCCCGAATTATAATTCTGCAGGGGTACGTTCCATCAGCTTTTTAATGGCAAACACGGGTCCTCCGTTGACTGTGTCACGACTCTCCTGAACGCCGCGGCATTAAGGGGCATAGGCCGCGGCATACTGAGACCTGGAGGCGAGATGGAGTCTAGAGATGCCTAAGAGAGAGGGGCAGAATCCTGGAGGCTAAGAGAACCTTCTAGACTCATGTAGATAAGTGTACACTTGTATAGAATAGAGTAGAATACTCTAGAATCTCATAGAGTTGTATAGAATACTCTAGAATTCAATTGTAGCCGTTAGATCAAGAAGATCTAAGCCGTCCATTGAGGAGGAGGATAAGTATAAATACCCCTCATGGCTGGCTCATTTGTATCATCGAAAGCTTGAGAGCAATAAAGCCTTTATACAAGTTTCTCCACTATCGGTGTCCTAGTTTCCGCAAGAGTTAGGCTGACTAGCATAGTTTGAGTGAGTGTTGCTAGTGCCGCACGGGTTCGAGAATAAGTCCGTGACAGTTGGTATCAGAGCCAAGGTTTTTGGTTTCGTGTCCTTGAGAAGAGATGGCCGGTTCAGATAGCGAGACAACTCACATGGATGCCGGGAAGCAAACCAAGAGGGGAAGGTCCAAGTCTCGAGAAGCCATGACGGAGGTGGAGACTCGGCTAGCCAAGGCGGAGCTTGCCATAGCCGATGGGGAAGAAAGGTTTGAGGAAGTCGACCAACGCATCGTGGAACTTGCGAAGAATAGTGAAGATCTTCGAGGGGAGGTGCAAGGAGCGGTCAATGAGATCCTCGACCGGTGTCTTTCCGAGGTCAAGAGCTTGGAGGGGACTTTTATGACCATGGTTGCTTCACTGCGGGAGGAGTTGGAGAAGGTCACCAACGAGTTGGTGGAAACCAAGGAAGAGCTGGTCCTATGCAAGAAGGCGGTCGTGCAAGGAGGAAGCACGTCGTCAAGTGAGGTAAGTCCTACTCCCTCTAAGGTTGATGTTCCTAGACCCAAGACATACAAAGGGGCTAGGAATGCTAAGGAGATAGAGAACTTTGTGTGGAGTATGGAGCAATACTTCAAGGCTCTTGGTATTGTTGATGATACCAAGAAAGTTGACACGACAACCATGTATTTGGAGGATACCGCCATGTTGTGGTGGAGAAGGAAGTACGGGGACCGAGAGAAGGGTCTTTGCACTATAGACACGTGGGAGGAGTTCAAGAGTGAACTCAAGAAACAGTTCTGCCCTATGAATGCGGAAGAGGAGGCGAGAGCTAAGCTAAGGCGTTTGCAACACAAGGGAAGCCTGCACGAATACGTGAAGGAATTTACTGAGGTACTCCTAGATATCCCTGACTATCCTGATAAGGAAGCTTTCTTTGCTTTTACGGATGGGTTGCAAGGTTGGGCTAAGATCGAGGTCCAAAGGCGTGGGGCTCAAGATCTCGACACTGCCATTGCTATTGCCGAGTCCTTGGTGGAGTTCAAGAAGCCGGAGAAGGTGAAGCCACCGACTAAGGAGAAGGGCAAGGAAAAGAGTGGGGGAGACCACCGTCCACACAAAGAAGGTTTCCAACACTTTGACAAGAGCAAGGGAACAAAGGAGACCAAGACATGGGAGAAGAGACCGTTGAAGTGCTTCTTTTGTGATGGGCCACACAAGGCAAAGGATTGTCCGAAGAAGGCCAAGCTCTCGGCCTTAGTTGAAGAAAGGGAGGAACGAGAACGGGAGGAAGCTATGGTGGGTTCCCTTCACATTCTCAATGCCATTAAGGCCAAGGTAACCGAGACCAAGACGGAGAAGAAGGGGCGTTTGTTCGTGGAAGCTAAGGTACGTGGACAAACTACTAAAGCCCTTGTTGACACTGGTGCTTCTCACAACTTCTTAGAAGTTAAGGAGGCAAAGAGATTGGGCATCCCCTATGTTGAAGACCATGGTTGGTTGAAAGCTGTCAACTCGCAACCTAAATCAATCTATGGAGTTGGCAAGTCGAGGGAAGACACGCCAGTTTTGGCTTAGAGAGGGGTTGCTCATGACCAAGGGAGATCGGATCTATGTGCCGAAGTGGCAAGGATTGAGGAAAGAGATCATCAAGGAATGCCATGATTCGAGATGGGCTGGACATCCCGGAATTAGACGCACGATGGCACTGATAGAACGTGCGTACTATTGGCCCCAAATGAAGGAAGAGGTGGAGTTGTATGTGAATACTTGTCTTGTGTGCCAACAAGACAAGGTGGATCAACAACAGCCAGCAGGGTTGCTGGAGCCGTTGCCCACACCAGAGAAGCCGTGGGAGAGCATATCTATGGACTTCATCACATGTTTGCCTAAGTCCGAGGGGTGTGGGAACATCATGGTCGTGGTGGATCGGTTTAGTAAGTATGGAGTGTTCATACCTGTCCCTACGAAGTTCACCGCTGAAGATGCCGCACGCTTATTCTTCAAGCATGTGGTAAAGTATTGGGGCATACCGAAGACCATCGTAAGCGACCGAGATACCCGTTTTACCGGGAAGTTTTGGATGGAGCTGTTCAAGATAATGGGGTCCGAGCTTAACTTCTCTACGAGCTTTCACCCCCAAACCGACGGCCAAACCGAGAGGGTTAATGCCTTGTTGGAGCTGTACTTAAGGCATTACGTGAGTGCAAACCAGCGGGATTGGGCAAAGTTGCTTGACATAGCTCAATTCTCATACATTTTTCAAAGACATGCATTTTTCAAAGAATTTCATTACCTCACTACCCACACATTTCCAAAACCTTCTCCCACAGTTATCATGTTTTCATGTTGTCAAAAGCTTCAATTCTTGGCCACATTGACAGTGTTCAACCGGAATCCATTCTCCATATTCATACTGCCCTATTGGTTTTGAAGAAGTAGAGTGACTGGTAGACATGTTAGGTTCTTTGTGGTTGAGTGGCGAGAACGACGACAGGGTTATACGAAGGAGTTGTGTGGTGAGGGCCACTGATTTAGGGTTCAAGCAAGCTATAGAATACGATGAAATGCAGCTTAATGTACGGATGATTTGTGAAGGGAAGTTAAGAAGGAGATGACGGTAGGTAGGAAGAAGTTATAACGGCCTTGAAATTACTTAAATAACCTCCACTTAATAGTAAAAGTTTTAAACCCGTCAGAGTTCACGCCGGAAAGATGAGAAATGGTAACGGGAGCAAACGATGGGACAAGATGTGGCGAAGTTGGAAGTTAGGTACAAAATGTGAAAGTGGCATAATAGTCATGTGACCAAAAGTGTAATTTTTTCTTTTGAGAAAGAAGTTCCATGAAAGTTTCATAAAACCAGTACATAATTCATGATATTCTTTTTGAAAGAACATAATTCATGATATTCGTAAACATAATCATTTTATAAGCCAAAAAAAATTAGTGATCACATTCATTCAAACTATGGCAAATAAGACTAAATAAGTCTTGAGATTTTTTCGGGGAAAAATTATGGTAATCTTCTTATAATTGTAATGTGACATATTTTAATAGAAAACACTACAATATAGATATTTATTTAAGTGATTGATACAATGTTTTATTGGGATCTGTTCTGAAATTCAGATTCAAAATGGTACATCGTATCACATTTTCTCTTATTTTTAATCATAAAACAAAAGGATAATAGATTTTTTTTACTTATTCTCCATTTGCAATTGAATAAGTGGTATTGTATAAAAATGATAATGCATGTTCTATTGTAAATAGCAGATTTGAGAATAAGATGTTAAGAATTGCAAAGCTATTTCTAGCATAAGTATCAATTTTTAAATATGTTTATCTTTCAATCTCTTAAACAACAAATTATTAAGACATAAAATAATTGATGGCATAACTTTAAAAAAGTAGAAACAACTTTACACCGAACTACGGAGTAATATATATCTTTTGTTGTAGTGTGTAATTTGCATTAAATAACAGATCCCGTGAGGTATATCAAACTATACAGATACACAAGAAACATATTAGTCTATATATTTTAAAGCATATAGTTACCTGAAAAGTGTATGTATGACCGTATGACCTCCATGGTGTTGTTTAAGATCTTAAGATTTATTACGCTGAGGATCTCTGAAGTGTTGTATATTTATGTATTCTTTAATCAGTGTATGTAATTCATAGCATGATATTTATCTTCGCATGAAGACAAGAGGAACTGTGAAGTGTTGTATATTTTATATTGTTTAATCAATGTACGTATTTCATAGCATGCTATTTATCTCCGTATGAAGACAGGAAATTAGTTTGAAAATAGCTTTTAAGGTTCATGAATGAAGAAGCAAAGTTGGTGATGAAATACCTTATGGTATTAAGAATGTCTAATTCATGGAGTAAGAGTAGAGTCACAGAACCTGGATTTTAAGTTTCATGGTGTTAAGTTGCAAAGACTGAGAATTGGGTTAATGTGCAGATTTATGAGTCTGAATCAGATTTATTGATAAACAAAATAGTTTGTATTTAGTACCTCCTCCACATTTTGTTATTTGTCATGTATTCCGTTTTTCTTTTGGTAATGATTTGTATTGCTTTAATGGACCCCACCACTTTTCCAAAAATTATGTTGTTTTTTATACTTTATGTTACAAATAGTATGATTTATGTGCTACTACATCTTACTTGATTACTATCCTCTAAACTACTTCATATTAATCTACTCTATAATTTAATACTTTTAAAATTTAATCTACCTCTCAATACATAAGTTTTTTGTTCTCAAAGTGAATAATAACTTGATTTCTTTTGTCCCGTGCATCGCACGAGTGAAATTCTAGTGTCTCATTAAAACTCTACTAGATAAAATTTGGTGGTAAAAATCTAGTGAAAGAAAAAGAGTACACAATTCTTTATACGTTTAAGGGGTGTTGCCTCAATAAAAATGTTGTCGACGAAAACTTCGGGGAATGAAAATGGGATAAAATCTTAGCAAGGGAAAAAGAGTACAATGCGTAATTGTTCCCCCGTTTAATACATCACTCGAGATCCTTGCGCCGGCTTGTCCAGTTTGGTGCACAAACTTCATGAGGTTGCAGTTGGGAGAGCTTTACCGAATAGATCTGCAACATTGTCACTTGAACGAATTTCTTGAACAATGATCTCGCTCTCTTTCTGAATATCACGTGTATTCCAAAACCTCAATGAGATATGTTTCGTCCTATCTCCTTTGATGAGACCTCATTGAGTTGATGTATACAAGTTGCATTATCAAGTATAATAAGATGGATGAAGCCTCCTTACCGTATAATATTCCACATAAACATCTAATGTACCGAATTACACTTCTTAGGTATACACATGTTTGACTGGCTTCATGAATGGCTAAGAGCTCTGCATGATTATAGGGCGTGGTCGCGATTGTTCGTTTCATGGAGCGCGATGAATTTAAAAGTTGTAAGCAAGAAAAGAAGTGATTCAAACTGCTTTACATTTTTGTATTGCAAAAAAAAAATAATTTTCACCAAACATCTTGACTTTTATTTTAAAGGTTATTTTTTTCAAATACTATTTTTTTGAAAGAACTTTGTTTTTTCTAATAATATTAAAAAAAGAAGTAAATGTAAATTTATACGGAGTATGAAAATATGAATATATATATGAACGGAAAAGATCCCGTGCAGCCGGAGGGACATGATGTTCTGTCCAGCCGCCGCCGTTTGGGGTGGTTCCTGATGCAATTTTTTGATGAAATGTTTTGAGCATGTTTTTCATCGAGTCTCGTTTATCCACAAAAAAATTCAGCTAAAAACTCAACCGGGAAGACGGTAAAATAAAATTTTAAAAATAACTGCATTTTATATGTACAATGTTTTTCGAAAAATTATTTGGCTGCCTTTCCGATTGAATTTTTAGTTGTTTTTTGAATAAACTAGACTTGATGAGCAATATGCTTAAAAAATTTCATAAAAAAATTCCATTGAAAACTGCCTCAAACAACGGCTGCCGAACTGAGCATCTGTCCCTCCCTCCGGTTAGACATGCTCCGTTTTAAACTAAAATAAAAAACTACGTATAAGAAAATTTCAGGACTTGTGGACTAAGAGCATCTCCAAAGTCACAATATGCACGATGCACATGTGACATACGAGACAACCACATAAATACTCCCTCCGTTTCTAAAAGAAACTCACACTTTCCTTTTTGAGATGTTTCAAAAACAAAAGCACACTTCCCTTATTTCTTTATTTGGTAAAGAAATCTACATTCAAACAGTGCGAAACAGTGCTAAACAATGTCTAAACAATGTCTAAACAATGTCTAAAAGAAATCTGCACCAAAATTTGATCAAAATGGATTAACAGCAGTTTCCTGGAACGAAAATTTGAACTTGTGCCTCCTCCTCCCCGCCCCATCCCGTTTCGCCTCCTTCTTGGTGGTTTGTCCGCAAGGTTTTGAAGTTCTCTAAAACTCCGAATCCCCAAAACAGAAGGAACACTTACCAGAACCATATCTCTGAACCCTTGTTTCGTATGGCTTCTGATGCTCCTCGAGCTCGAATTGACCAGGTAATACCTGTCCATCACATGCATTCAGTGTATATGGAAATGCTCTATGCAAATCTTTGAATTCCAACCCTAAAAGTTCACAAATTTTCATTTCTTTAGGATCATAGATGCGTATATCTTCATTAAAGATTTCCATGACTAAAGATCAGTAATCATTCTTTTATGTTCTCTGTTGTTCTTATTAGTTCTTTGCATCAAAGAAGAAGAGGAAATTTGAATCTCCTGTCTTGAAATCTCCAGTATCCATTAAAGATGCTAAAATTTCGACTGAGGGGTCACCAGGCACCAGAGGATCTCTTGAGAATTCTTCAGTCAAATCTCAGGACAATTGTGAGTCTCTGGGCTCACCTGTTGAGAGAAATTTGACATTAGAGCTCGATCGAATTTCCAAAGATGAAGATGAAGTGGCAGTTCCGTCAAGAAAATCACACTCTCAAGGTCCTAAAACAGCATACGAAATGTTATACAATGCAGGTGTTGCGGCCAGAGAGCATCCTAAAAATTCCTCTGAACACATCCTAGACCAAAAAAACCTACAACTCAATCAATTTGCCAGTGAGTTTCTATCATTATACTGCAGGTACTTTACTTATACACGGAAGCTAAAAGTACTACTGCTAATAAGTTTGCAACCCCATACTAACATTTCTTCTTCTTCTTCTTCAGCAATATTGGAGGTTTATGCATTCTCTCTGTTCTCGGTTTTTATATTTTTCTTTTGTTCTTTTCGTGTGTGCATCATACAGTAAGAGACCATGCCCACCAACTAGTGAGGGTTTACCATTACATCAAAATGTGCATCCGTATAAAAGACACTGCATCCCATCTACTGCTGATAGAAGCTCTTCTTCTATTGAGGACAATTCAACTAGCTCTCCAAGGAATTATCTTCCAGATGCCCATAATGATGTTGTTCCCAAATCTGCACATGCAAATCCACATTCTTGTGAGGTAGGATACATATATGTCCCTACAAGTATATGTTTTTTTGTTTATAAAAACACTGTGTACCTTCATTTATGTTTTTGTGTGCTATGGTAGGTGAATATGGATACACTTGCTGAACCTCAAATAAGCTTGAGAAGATGTAATAAGGTTCCTGTTTCTAAAGAAACTGAATCTCTAACACCAGGTTTGTCCACTATGGAACATGTGGCAAGCGTTACTCCAACATCAGCACATGGTGTCTCGATCTTTTCACCTGGAGAAAGTTTCTGGAATGAAGCAATTGAAGTTGCTGATGGGTTGTTTGCTGAAAATGAGAAAGGTACGTGCCGAGTTACTGATAAGGATGTAACTGTGAGCACCCGACATGACATACTTAGTTCCAACGATCTGATAACTGGTGGACATGGCATAAAATCAAACAGAGTAACCAAAAGAGTTGTGGATAGAGTTTCTAGTGTGAGAATGGTTTCTGCTGGTGTGCCGATAAAGAAGATTGGGAAGGAAATGGATAAAGAAGTCTCTCCATTGCCTGTAAAGCACTTTGACTTTGCTTCGGAAGACAAACAAATGGCGCAGATTAATGATTGCCATATTCTCAGTGGAAATGAAATTGGGCATGCTCCAGTAAACAGACTATTTACAGAAAAACTTGCAGGGGCCTACAAATATGATGCTTCTAAAACTACTCCTGATACTCTTGTGCAAGGCAATGGTAGTGTAGCTTTTAATACACCAACCGAGAGATCAGGAAAAGTTGGAGCTAATTCTGAATCCAGTGAAGACATCACTCCTTCAAGTTTTTTGCCACAAAAAGATTGTTTAGATCTCAGCAATTGGCTCCCACCTGAAATATGCAGCACCTACAAGAGGAAGGGTATAGCAAAATTGTACCCTTGGCAGGTAGTGTTTTACTCTTTCGAAAAGTTCATTGCCTTTAATTTTGTGCGGCATATTACATTGTTACGTTGGCACCGAATATTTTGCTTGAAGGAGTTAACCCCATCCCCATGGTTAAAAAAGATTCATTAGCCCGGACATTACTTTTCAATTCCAGCCTACATCATGTTACACTGGAGTCAATCTACTATTTGGATGTGCCGTTGTAGGAGATGATCAATGATTAGTTGGAATACAAATATACAATATAGTCAATAGGGGCGTAGGGCATCATCGACTCTTTCTCTATCATGAAGCTTTCTAAAATGCACCGTCATCTTAGTATTTTACGACATACAACTTTGTTTCAATTCTGCCTTTTTTGTTTTGTTTTGTTTTCTTGGCACTGTGTTCTAGCTCTCTCCTTAATTACTGTGTTGTTTTTGTCAGCAAAATCTACTCAGTAATTATTTATACCTACAAGAGGAAGAATATGTTTATCACTTATTCTTCTCCTGTGATAATAACATTGCAATTAACCCTTCTCCATTTCTCAGGTTGATTGCCTGCAAGTGGATGGTGTTTTGGAGAATAAGAATCTGGTTTATTGCGCCTCTACAAGGTATGTATTGGATTTATAAATTTTTGTACTTGTCATTTCTCTAAGCTTTCCAGATGGCTATACTGCCTAAACCTATATGATACGGAGTATTAAATAAGCTACTTGAACACTTATTCCTCATTGGTCTTAATTTCAATATATCACCGTAGACAAGAAAATAAACTGGGGTTTTAGCAACCCCTGCCTCCATGTGTTTGTTTTGCTGTTTCATGAAACTTTAGATGAGTTGTGTGGAGAGAAAATTCAGTTTCATAATTTAGTAGTCAATCTTAGTTTTATAAGATACCATGAAAGAGCGATGAAAAAAAGCCCACTACAATATCAGATTTATAGTCATAACTCATAAGTTGGTATGTTTTTATCAAATCACTACTTCAGCCACAGATTCATCATTCGCTTTTATATTATAGATTGTAGATGAATATAACTTCTCCGTTATCTCTATCTAATTCTTATATACCATCAAATGGGTTATTATTCATTCCAAGTGCTACCCCAATCTGCTTATCAAAGAAGATGAGCTCTGTAAAAAAGCATTGGAACGTCGAACATTTTACTTGCCTCCCATAAATTTCTCTAGTAAATATTCCAAGAATTTTCACTCTCTTGCCCATCTTTAGGAGAAATATGATCTCTTTATCCTCTTTACCATCCCAACTAAGACACTTTTTTCCTTGCCAGTTATGAAATTGTGTACTCATATAGTCTTATCCTTCTAGCCCCCACAAGTTATTGAGACATCATATTTCATCAATGTGACAATGTCAACTCTATAAGAAGTTAACAAAACCAGATTTTTCTTTATTGTCTTTGATTTGGCTTTTCTAATTCCTCACAGTGCTGGTAAAAGTTTTGTTGCTGAGATTTTAATGTTACGGAGAATCTTATCAAGGGGAAAAATGGCAATCCTTGTACTGCCATATGTATCCATTTGTGCAGAAAAGGTGCAGTTATTTCATATTTAAAATGCTTTAGTTCTCTTTCATATCATCATATGTTACTCAGATGTTGATGTGTGGAAATGACACGAACAGGCCGATCACCTAGAAGTCCTCTTAGAACCACTTGGGAAGCATGTACGCAGTTACTATGGAAATCAAGGTGGCGGAACCCTTCCAAAGGACACATCTGTTGCTGTGTGTACTATTGAAAAAGCAAACTCCTTAGTTAATAGACTGCTAGAAGAGGGCCGCCTGTCAGAACTTGGTATCATTGTGATTGATGAACTTCATATGGTATATATATTTGTTTTGTGGAATTGTAATAGTGCTATTTGATGTACTGCTTAATAGATTTTCACCGTCATGATAGGTCGGTGATCGGAACAGAGGCTATTTACTGGAGCTGTTGCTCACAAAGCTTCGCTATGCAGCTGGTGAAGGCAACACAGAATCGTCCAGTGGAGAAAGTTCAGGTATGAGCAGCGGAAAAGCTGACCCTGCTCAAGGTCTTCAAATTGTTGGAATGAGTGCAACTTTGCCAAATGTGGCTGCAGTTGCTAATTGGCTTGATGTGAGTATTCTATTATTTTTGTTTGATACTAAACTAAAGATTATACAGTAATAGCTAGTAGAGTAGTAGCTACATAGCGTCTTACAAGAACTAGTTCTTACATTCCACAATACAACTGCCTAACTATCCCAATGTCTTTGGTTCCTCAATATTTACATCATTTTGTGTGTGTATTGTACTATTGTGTAATGTTATATGTTTATCAGTTATGAGTTTATGAATCATGACTATCAATCAACAATGACTACAATAACATTTGATATATGGCTGTACATTTACTCGAGTCCTAGACTCTTAGTGCACTCACAACACAACTTGCAGAAGATATAATTATTGTTGTGAGTCCTTTTATTGAATATGCACACACGTGTGTTTGTGTGCGTGTATTTGTTTATATATTTATGCATCCGTTCTTTTGCCTCTTACATTTACTTATAAAAGGTTTGATTGCATTTATATCTTTGTTGGATTGTGTGTTTTGCCAACCTATGCGTGTTTCTGAAATTACCTGAAGAGCTTTGCAGCAGTTGCACCTTGTAGGCTGGTAGTGGAAATATGACATTGAAGTTTACTTGTGATTTTTTTCTCTTGCTGAAACTGCACTAAATTTTCTGTGAAATTGTATTTTGAGTTTTGAATGTCAAAGCATTGATTTGATTGCATGTGAGCAAATTAAAACTTTATAGTTGTGGAACTATTTGATTTGAGTTCATAAGGAAGAGTACTCTTGACTAGATGCACATTCTCACTGTGCATTCTATTACTATGCCAGTAAGGTGCTCAAACACTTCACCGGATCACTCTAAGTTGTCTCATGCTTTGTGGTCAATCCACCAGTTGTTATGTGACCTAGGTAACCCTCTCTTTGTAGCTTCATTTGCCAACAATTCTAGGTTAAAGGAATGTGAATGTCACCATAAGATCTACACAAATCTTTCTGAGTGTACCCAATTCACAATAGTTGTCTCATGCTTTGTGGTCAATCCACCAGTTGTTATGTGACCTAGGTTACCCTCTCTTTCTAGCTTCATTTGCCAACAATTTTAGGTTAAAGGAATGTGAATGTAACCATAAGATCTACACAAACCCTTCTGAGTGTAGCCAGTTCACATCAACTGTAAAGGCATGACTTTGGTATGGATTGAAATGCACATGACTCTACCAATTTGATGTGTGAGTCTATGACTAGATGTTTATAAAAATGCAATTTGGTAGAACCTGGCAAATGGAAATTGGTTCCCTAGTTTTATGTCGCCCTATAATTCGTTTCTCGTCTGGTTTGCTTCTCACAGGCAGCTTTGTACCAAACAGATTTCCGGCCTGTTCCTTTAGAGGAGTACATCAAAGTAGGCAACACGATTTATAACAGAAAGATGGAAATTGTTAGAACATTGCCAAAAACTGCTGAGCTTGGTGGCAAGGATCCAGATCATATTGTGGAGCTTTGCAATGAGGTTATATCTCACTTTATCAACATTCTTTTGGCAAAGGTTTTAGACCCTAACAAGTTTGAATTCAATTAGGTTGTTCAAGATGGTCATTCCGTGCTAATTTTTTGCTCCAGTCGGAAAGGATGTGAAGCAACAGCTAGGCATGTTGCTAAGTACTTGAAGTTCTTGATCAGCCCCTGCAACAAAGATACTGAGTTTGATATTGATTCTGCCATTGATGCACTACGAAGATCTCCTGCAGGCTTGGACCCTATACTTGAAGAGACACTTCCTGCTGGTGTTGCTTACCATCATGCTGGGCTTATGGTAGCGTGCTATTTAGTTGTTATATGCTGTCTTTGTTCTGCTTCATATTTCAAAATTATCCATGCTCTTTTGTATTTTTTTATTTTTTACCCTATCCTTTTATTTTTGGGACTAAGGCTTGGATGTTGTTGTACCCTATCCTTTTATTTTACTTAACTTTCAAATTATAGTACTGTTTGAAGTGCTCATTGATGTTTCCTTTGTCAAGCTCGAAGAAAGAGAGACTGTTGAGAGTTGTTATCGCAAAGGACTTGTACGAGTCTTAACTGCTACATCAACTCTTGCTGCTGGAGTTAACCTCCCTGCCCGGAGAGTTATTTTCCGACAACCTCGTATCGGGTATGACTTTATTGATGGAACAAGGTACATGCAGATGTCTGGTCGTGCTGGTCGGACAGGGATTGATACAAAAGGAGAGAGTGTAGGTTTACCTTTTATTTGCATACCTTTATATGGGTTTCCTTAAACAACATATTATGCAGATTTACTTAACTTGTCATTCAGCATTCACATGTCAATTTGGTAGACGGGCTAAAAGCTGTTTTATCCTATTAGGTTATTAGATTCTTTCATTTTTTTAAAACACAATCCTTGTCCCTCTGTTAATCTTATGAGCTATGACTATCAAAGTTTTGTTATAAGTGTTCATGTCTTTGTTGAATTAGGTGTTGATTTGCAAACAAGATGAAGTTAAAAGAATATTGAGACTTTTAAATGACAGCTGCCCACCATTGCATTCTTGCCTGTCGGATGATAAGAATGGAATGATTCATGCAATACTAGAGGTCGTTGCTGGTGGGATTGTTCAAACTGCCAATGATATTCACCGATATGTTAGGTGTACCCTTCTTAATTCAACAAGACCTTTTGAAGATGTGGTAAAGTCAGCTCAGGATTCTCTTCGGTGGTTATGCCACAGGAAATTCCTTGAATGGAGTGATGATACAAAATTGTACACTATCACACCTCTTGGTCGAGCATCTTTTGGCAGTTGTCTTTCTCCTGAAGAGTCGCTCGTAAATGTTTCAAACTTCTTTAATTTTATGCATCATTTTGAAAGAACTTGTTTTGCCTTCTCTTAGATTTTGACATAATTAATTGTACTAGTCCTGCCTATCATGAATTGTTAGGTTGTATTAGATGATCTATTGAGGGCAAGAGAAGGGTTTGTACTTGCATCTGATCTGCATCTGGTTTACTTAGTCACACCCATTAATGTTGAAGTTGAGCCAGATTGGGAATTGTATTATGCAAGATTCATGGAACTGTCTGCTTTAGATCAGGTAAGAAATCTCTGTTCTCTAAGGCTTCATAGGTTAGTTAAGCAGTTTATACTGGCGGCACCTTGTTTATGTTGCTCATTAAAAGTTTATTGATGTCAATAGCAGAGCGGTTGGCAATAGCGCCAGTAGCGGGAACTATAGCACTACTATAATTTACGGGGCTACTTCGGTGCTAGTTTTGAAGAAATTTGGGAGTATTTTTCACTATTAGATGTTTTTAGAGTAAAAAATAACCTCACTACAGTGCTACACCACCCCGATCATGTGGGAGATAAAATAGACCTACTAAAACAGCTCTGAACAGAAGCCAAGGTCAAACATAACCTACACCGTACGTTTCCATGTTAAGGTAGTTCAGGGCTAATTTATCTAGGATTATCGTGAGCTTATTTTTTTCTTTAATGTTTAGAGGTAAGTTACTTTATCTTAACATTTTTATCTTATGTTCTTTATCTTTATCTTGTCTTTCTGTGCTTTAGTACAGGGGTAAGACTCCGTACATCCGACCCCCTACCCCACCAAAGGTGGGAGCCTTTACGGCACCGAGGTAGTGATAATGATGATGATGATGTTCATTTTGTTTATCTTATCCTATTTATCTTACCTTATCTTTTAATCTCTCTTATTTTTCTTTTCTTTTTGGTTGAGATATCATGTATCAATTCATGCTAGCCGATCTCAAAATCGTGGATGTTGTTTTTGTTTGTTCTTCTTTATCCTTTTATCCCTTTTTCTTGTCAATTTTATCTTTATCTTATATTTACCATTATTTTTGTCTTATATTTTTATCTTTTTATCATACCTTATCCTTTTATCTTTCTTATCTTTTTTCTTTTTGCCTCCGATATTATGTACCAATTCATGTTAGCTGACCCCAATATCTTTCTGGACTAAGGCTTGGATGCTGTTGAGCTAAGTTACTTTACTTTAATTATTTGTTTCTTTTGTTTAAGACACTAATGCCTTTTTATTGATAATTTGTTAAGTTTAAATTTCATGATGTTTGAGATTTTGAGTAATATATATTTGATTTATCATTCCTTGGGTGATATGTGCATGGAATGTAATCATATGTTTCCTTGGGTGCAAGGTTGTCAAAGGCGTAAAGCGCACCTGAAGCGCTAGGAGTCTTCCAGCGCTTGAGGCGCAAAGCGCAAAAAAGCGCTCGCCTGACTCGGGTGAAGCGCATTACTTATATAAAGTCACATATACTATTCTATAAATACCAAATATGATGTATGTAACATCATATTGAACCAAATGCATCAAAAAAGCTAGGATTCACCAAAATAAAGTCATGATTCACAAAAACAGAAGTCTAAATTTAGAATTCATGGCTTTAATACTAAAAGTAAAACTAAAAGACACTGAAATCCGAGCCTATTTCCCCTCGCTAAACTTGTGAAGGACTATTCGTCATTAAAAGAGGAGTCAGTTTCTTCTCCATTATCTGATTTGTATTCCCCAACATCCTCTTCAATTTCTCCCTCACTTTCCTCATCCACAAGCCTACGAGTAGTACTTGAACTCACATTTCTGGAGTGCTTTCTAGTATATCTTATTGGTTCTTCTGCTCCCTTTGCCCTACTCACAGCACCCCACGTCAAGCCATCACCTTCATCATCACTGAAAACCGAGTCATCTGCTGCACTTGCATTCACATTTCCAGCCAACCACTCATTGCAATCATCAATGTTATCTAAATCAATGTTATCAGCCAACGTGGTGATTTAGTCTTTCTTGTCAAAATTGCCAAATTGATTCCAAAAAGGCCTTCAGCTCTTGTATACTTGGACAACTCATCAATAATCTCTAGTTGCTCGCTTTGTTGTGGAACTAACTTTGCGATACAAGCATAGAGTCCAGTTGTGATCTCATTATTAAATTCAACTTGAGGATCATCATAGAAACATGCTGGATTGAGATAATGACCAGCCGCATGTAGTGGATGATGGAGCTGATCTTCCCATCTTCTATCAATGATTTCGAAAGTAGCTTTATAGTTCTCTTCTTTTCCATTGAAAGCCTTTATTATAGCTTCTTTGGCTCTATCCATCGCTTCATACAAGTATCCCATTGCCGGCTTCTTCTCATTGTCTACGAGTCGAAGAACTTTCACAAGAGGACCCATAAGTTTGAGTATGTAATATGCATTATCCCAAAAGGTAGGCATTAGCATAATGTTTTCAACTTGTTTCCCACCTATCTCTTTAGCCCACTTGCTGGAATTCCAGTCACTCTTAGAGAACAAAGCCCGAAGATTCATTTTTTGCTTATAGATGCTCTTTAAAGTTAGGTAGCATGTGCAGAATCTTGTCTTCCCCGGTCTTATTAGATTTCTCTGCCCCGTATACCTCCTCATTAAATTCAATAATCCTGTTCGATTATAAATAAAGTTAGTCACACTCATAGCCCGTTTCAAGGTGTTTGAAACCAAAGGCAGCTTCCCAATGTCCTGTAGCATTAGATCAATGCAATGCGCACCACACGGCGTCCAATATATTTTTGGCCTCTTGATTTCTAATAACTTACCACCTAACTTAAAATTAGTACCATTATCGGTAACAACTTGCACAATGTTTGCTTCCCCAACATATTCAACAAATTCATCCAATAAGTCCAGCACCTTTGGACCGGTTTTTGAGTATGAAGAGGCATCCACAGATTTGATAAACACACAACCAGCCAAAGAATGAACCAAGAAGTTAACAATGCACAGACCTGTGGTGCTAGTCCAGCCATCTGCCATTATAGAGCAGCCATGTTTGACCCATATAGCTCTATGGTCAGCTAGCATGTTTTGGAGGTTAGCAACTTCTTTCTTCAAACATGTGACCCGCACTTCATGGTAGCTAGGGGGCTTCAAATTAGGACCATATTGTCCTATTGCCTCGATAGCACATTTAAAAGAATGGCTCCGGGCAACATTGAAAGCAATCCCGTTCTCGTAAAAACAGTTTGATATATATTGTATAGCTACTTCTCTTCTTTGCTTATCCAACTTCTCATCGATCTTCAATTGCTTCAGTCTTCCTTGCTTTCGCAGCTCCACTACTGTTTCTGGCTTGTTGAAGATAAAAGAGTCCATAGGACCTTTTAGTTTTCCCTTCTTTGAAGATGCTTTGGTCTGCTGCACATGACCAGGTCTTTTTAGCTTGCCTCTAGGATCTTTCTGCAGCTCCTCAAGTTCACTGTCATCATCTTCCAGATCATGGAATGCATCAAAATCCGGATGTTCTGGCAGTTTATCATAATTGATCTTGGCATCCTTTTTGGATTGCATATATTCCCTAAGCATCTTTTTCACATCTTCTGGACATTTCAAGCAAGCCTTCGCATTTCTATCCCCTCCTATTTGATGAAGCTTTGCCCGGTAAATCCCTCCGTTAGTTACTTTTCCACAGTAAATGCAGGTAACTGATTTAGGATCTTTTTTGTTAACTAAGTAGTTGTGTTTCCAAGCTGGGTCATTTTTTGTAGAGTTTTCACTTTCAGCACCACCCACAGAACTTGTTCCACCTTCCATATCCTAGAAAAGATCAAAGCTGGAATCAGATATATCTCTCTTCCAAATACAGTGAGTCAGTGATACATATGGAATCAGTTTGATATATAAAGTTAAGAACATATAAGAATTAAGAACATATAACTTTAGTATGTATATTAGTATTATATACAATGTAGAGTACTATATATGTATATTTTTGTGCTATATATTAGTATTTTTTCAATCTTTTTAGGTGGCAACTTTTGTGCTATTGTTTGTCCTGTCTGGACCCGTGAACGCAGTTAACTATGTGGTGAGCAATGATAACATAGTTTTGAATATGGTTAAATTTACAGACTCCAGAATTACATTCTAAAGAAAACTACTACTCTTCTAATAAACACACCTCTTTTTTCAGTCATTCTAAAGATGGTGCTCTTATAAGTTTTGTAGTAATGCACCAAGATAATGAAAAGTTATACCCCCTATCTGATAAAAAATAGTTTGTGTAATCAAAGTACAACTTTTTTAACTATGTACTGCATTGTAAGTCATAAATGGTACTTATGTTTTAGAAACTTTTAATTAAGTTTGTTAAATATCCTAGAAAAGATCAAAGCTGGAATGAGTACATATATCTTTTGTACATATATAATGGAATCAGTTTGTTAATTGATACATAAAGTTACTATATGGAATCAGTTTGATATATAAAGTTAAGAGCATACATCTTTACTCTTTAGTACATTAGCACATAAATCTTTAGTAATTAGTACATATAAAGTTAAGATATATATCTTTAGTACATATATAATCAGTTGGTTAACTGATACAGTGAGTCAGTGATACATAAACTTTATGGAATCAGGTTGATATATAAAGTTAAGACTTAAGAACATATAAGAATTAAGAACATATAACTTTAGTATGTATATTAGTATTATATACAATGTAGAGTACTATATATGTATATTACAAGGCAGAGTACTATGACAGTATGAGTATTATATACATAGTAATATACTAAAATATAAAAAAGCAGAGTACTATGACAGTATGAGTATTATATACAGTAATATACCTTGTTTACTGCTATGATGGAGAGCTGCGTATGCTTGAGATGATGAAGCTGAAAGAATCGGCTGGTGTAGAGCAGCTTGAGTATAGAGTGAGGGAGTGAGGAAAGCGAGGAGAGCTGAAAGAACCGGCTGGTGCAGAGCAGCTTGACTGCTTGAGTATAGCGGTTTTTACGTACTAACGGTACTATTAAGCTTAGTTTTACGTAGGTTAAACTTACTTTAACCTATTGTTTTCATGGGCTGAGGACTATTAAGATATGGGCTTTTTTTTCAAAGTTTTAAACTAAAAAAGGGCTGTCAGCCTTTTCCGTTTCAGGCGACTGAGGCGCGCGCCTATAGGGCTTCCGCGCTTCGTGCGCTTCTAGCGCTTATGCTGCGCCTTGCCCAGGCTTCCGCGCTTCTTCCTTACTCAGGCGCTAGGGGTCTGCCTCGCT